TCATCTGGAAAGCAGATTTGTTACATGAGCTTCCCCAACATTTGAGGACCAGTCCCTTTCAGAAGCCAGGGGAGCGTTAAGTCAAAATTGTATTTCAGAATAATCTCTTGACCAGAAGCCCCAGCACTAATGTGAGAGCTTGTTAAAAATGCAAAAATCTCACCCCAGACTTACTGTTTTCTGAATCTGCTGTATTATTTGAGAATTACTGAGAATATTAAATTCTGTTATAAAGGGTGAGAAACTCATAAGAAGAAATATTTGATTATCTCATAAGCTAGTAGCTTACGAAAGAGGCAGCACTCAGAGGCTCAATTAAGTATGGTAATAAAATCTTGTAAGAGGAAGGCAAAATTCATAAGATGTGTTTAAAAAATAAGTCAGGGCCCTGGCCAGTTTTGCTCAGTGGTTAGAGCATTGGCCTGCAGACCAGGGAGTCCTGGGTTCAATTCCGGTCAAGGCACGTACCTCGGTTGTGGTTCAACACTAGCCCCAGTTGGGGTCGTGCGGGTGGCAACCAGGTGATGTGCCTCTCTCACATCAATGTTTCTCTTTCTTTCTCTCTTGCTCTCTCTCTCCTCCCACCCCCACCTCCCACTCTGTCTGAAGATAAATGTAAAGAAAAATATCCTCGGGTGAGGATTAAAAAAAATAAGTTAGGAACCTGTAAGACATGCCAAAATAGAAAATATAATGGAACAAACAGAGGTTTACTTGCAAATAGAAAAGGGTGGAAAGAGCAAGTTGACAGCTATGTCTCCTCCATTTCAGCCACCCACCGAGGACACTCAGTATGGTCCTATCCTGGACTCAAAAGTTCTACCCAGGAAATGCAAATAAAACCCAAGGCTCATCAGCAAACTGGCAAAGACACAGCTGTATCTAAGTGTACTTGTCCTCACTCTCTGTGTTAGAGCAAGTATCTATCAACTGTAGCCCTCATAACCACACAATCAATGGGGAAGGTTGATGTGAAAGAGAAACAGGATGTATGAAGACTGTACCCAGGTCTCAGGCAGTGGGTCCTTTGGAACTTGTTAGCCCTGTAGGTATGTTAACTTACTCCTTGGCTTTCCTCTTACTTCCGGCTGGTGGGTTTTAAACTGAGATGATAAATAGTATGATTCAAGCATCTTAATTTGGTTGCTGAGCCTGTCTATGCTATAACCTCCGAAAGAGCTAGCAGTGTACTTGGAAGCTAACCACTGCATCAAGGTAATTGCCCACAAAACACCTAATGAATCACCAATCCACATTTTAAAAGATCCCCAGTTGATTCTTATGCATATTAAGTTTAAGAAACACTGAGCAAAACTGTTAGAAAAAGACAGAAATTGGGACCTCAAAACTATGCTCTGCACACCATCCTGAATAACAGGCCTTGTGTACCCCCTGACAATTTAGAGCCCCAAATGAGGGACAAAACGCTAAGGGAACTATTTTCAACAACTAGCATATAGGGTTTAGAGCAACACTGCTGTTCTTGGTGATTCTCCTTTGAACCCAGCTCTGTAAAGCTCAATACAGTTTGAGGAAACACTCAGAAAAGTATGGCATTAACCCTGTAATGTCCTCCTTGCTGGGAATCAAGAAAATACCCTTTTTCAGATACACTATGTTTCAAGAGCACCAATCCAAAGGACATAGGCTACCAGAAATAGAGAAAGAGGTATGACCTCCCTCATGAAGTTGCAGTGACCCTAGAGAGATTATCAAAGAATGGAACTGAGCAGCAGAGCCGTAGAAGCATCTCTAATGGGCTGGACACGTCTCACCTACCAGCAGCAGTTTCTGACTTGATCGGTTCCAGTCATTTTATATATCTACTGTATTTGCATTGTCCTTGACATACAGTAAGGGTTCGGTAAATGCTCTGCATTAACAGGAAAAAGAATGAAAAAAAAAAAAAAAAAAAAAAAAAGGTCATCCTTTCTATCCTTGATTTATCTAAGACAAATTTAATTAATCCAAACTCTTGGTTTTGAGAAGTTCCTGAGAATGAAAGCATAATTCCACATCTCATATTAGCATGGTTCATAACACTCCTTCACTCCATATCTTGAAATCAGATTTTATATTTTCTATTATTAATGCCATTATAGTTTTCCAGGACACTATGAAATGTTTTAACCTATACCATTAAGAAATAATCTGACCATTTCTAAAAGTCACAAGTATGTCTAAGGAATATGCTACACAGGGAAGACCAGCTATGATTTGGATGATTTTCTAAGTCCAGACTGAAGACCAGATTTAAGATCAAGAGAAATCTCTATTTAAAACATCTACAGAAGAACTGAAATAGAAACTGAGGACATCATATACACAAAGGTCATAAACAAGATCTAAAACAAGAGGCTAAATAAAGGTGTCGAGAATTTTTACCCTGGTGAAGAATAAGATGAGAGTATCAGGAAAGGTATGAAAAGTTCTAAAGGTCATTTCTGTTAGGAATATTCTTCCTATAAATAATGCTTTACAAAAATAATAAAGAAATACACATGCAGAATAGCTGAGTGTATTCCCTTCCAAATGATCGACCGGATCCTGTTCACGCCATGCACCTAGTACAGCCAAGGACAGTTAAAGTACTCATTAGACACTAAGGCACAAGTTTTTACACTGTTATGTGGGTTTTAAATATCAGGTGTCAAAGAACTGACTCTACAGGCTCACAGAAGAAAGACATAACCTTCTAAGTTGTTCTCCTGCAGCTAACAGCATGAGAACACACACATGATAAGCTTTCAATAACTGCTTACTGAATGTAATTAAGTGTTACCACTCTCTGAGGCAAAAATCGTAATTGGAGATTCATCTGAACACTACCATCACCACCGTCACCCAGTAGAAAAGTAGCTCTCAAAATGTCCAAGTGAATCCACTTATGCATCAGACAATGGAAACAAGAAAAAAGAGTAATTGTCTTATTCATTCCAAAGGGAAAAGAATGAATCTTCTCTTTGCAAAGTTAATCCACTCCAACTAGTACTGTTAACTGCCCACTAAAATGCAGGGCATTATCTCTCTGCTTCACAAATCTTTTGCTTGGTTTATGTTCTTGATAAAATGTGTTAAACTTAAAATGTACATAATCTGTTTCATTCTTTGTTATATGAAGTATACAGTATCTTTGTTGTATGAAAATTAAAAGGCAAATGTTTACTGGTGTAAGCAATAGCAGAAAAAAAATTACTTGAATTTCAAAATGCCATACCCAAATACTTGGTTTGATCACATATGAACAGCCTTATTTCAATGATAAATCCTTTAAAATTCATTAAACCCATCACTGGGCAGTTCTATTTGGCGCAGCACAGACCCAAATACAAAGCTGGTACCCCGACTGGCTGGGTGGGTAGTGCTCTACTTGATAAACTTTCATAAGCTGCTACTTTCCCATTAGGGAGTTAGTCACTCGTTTTAACAAACTCCTTGAAGAGTTCATTTCAGTGCTTCTTGCCTTGCTCGATGTGAAACAATTTAATCTTATTGCTTTCTTCCTGAGGGGAAGAAAGACTATGTTCAAATGAGAGCACTTGCAAAGGGGACATGAACTGTCAAATTCAGGAGCTCACTGAGCAGGTCCGGAACAGGCTCACTACAGAGTGTGCCTGGAATTGGGAGGTAGTGGGGAGAAGAGCAAGGGAAAGAGGCAGAACACTGCAAAGAAACTTAGCTTACGCAGAAACCAGACTCACCTCTCGAGTTTACACACAGTGGAACATGGCATGGCCCATTGTGGCCCAGAACTTTTGCCTTACACTAATGAAATGAAAGTTTCCCAGCTAACACCTGTAGGCAATTTCAGATGACCATTTCAAAACAGTACAGCGTCATTAAAACAAGGTCAGATTTCTCTTGGCTATGTACACTACACATCGTATAGCCTTATATGGGTGTTTCATTAGATGGAAATGACGACAGACAGTGATGAGAGATTTTGAGGAGAAAATTTTAAAAGATACCATATCAAATTCCGAATCTATCGTATATACACTGAGTAACCCCCTAAATAGAAGCCCCTAGAAAGTGGTTTCAAATGACACATTCTGCCACTGCAGCCCCCCAGGTCCCCCTAGGAGGGCATGCCGGAATCTTAGGACAGGGCTGGTGGCAAGCACACTTTGAAACAGCACTGTGGGGATTCTGACACTCAGCCTCCTGCCCCTGTTGCCTTACCAGCTACTAATGTCTCACCCACCCCCACCCCTGGCTGCTGATGTACTCTGTGCTATTCCTCTGTACCAAATGTGAACTAAGTGAAGTTGTTCGAATAGACATCTGAATTCAGTTGGCATTTATCCAGCTTTTAAGAGGGAAAAATAAATTCATGAATGGCAAAACAATTTAACTTCCTTTCACAAAATTTCATGTTACAGATCAAATTCTGAACACAAAGCTATTTCTACTCACAGCTTTCCAATTAAAGTATTTGAGTCTGCTAATATATTTCCATGAATCAAATTTCACTACCGAGTAGCAATACAAAAAAAAGAGTTTCAACGTTCCTCACAATCCACTCCCACTTCAGGGATAACTCCGATTTTTTTTAAAGCAAGGAAATACAGAGCATTATTTCAAGCTTACCATAACTCTCCCTTTGTGCAATATACTTGATATCCTCATGTTGAGATTCAGAAAATGTTATTGTTTATGGGTAATTTTAAGTAAAACTAGTTACTGAAGTAATCCTATTTCAAACTAACACACCTGATTTTCAGTGTTCATATTCTTCACACTCCAGTCCATTGGAAAGTATCTCACAATCCCCAAACTTCTTCAACTTGCATATACTCAATACTGGCTTATGCATGCAACTCGAAAGTATGTAAGGAAATATGGTGGATACCTCCCAAACTCCAAACTTTTAAAATCACCTGACAACATGTGTATATCAACAACCTTGAATTCCTCATAGTTGTCAAAATCTGTCCTGCATACAGTTAGGCCCAAATACTAAGGAAACTTGGAAAACAAAACTGAGAAAACATACTTACCTTAATTGGAGCACTACTAAACTTAATTTTCCTATTTGCTGGGATTTCTTCTTCTTCGGGCAATCCAACGATTTCCGAGTAGTCCATGTCAGGTTGATAGTAACTGTTTTCATCACTGTCTTCCTGCTCGTCCTGTTCAGTGCCTGTCTCTCCCCAGTCGGAATTATACCTGGATCTTACCCTATATACATTATAGTCACTGTGCATGTAAACATGGGAACTCTCAATATTACTTGAATCTTCAGATACTTCCTTCCCACAACTGGATCCAGAAGCATCAGCAGAGATAAAATCACCACCTGCAAGTTCCTTCTTCTGTAACACTGCTGCCTCATTCCCAACCAAGTTAGCTTTGGCATCTTCTAAAGGTTCATTTTGTGGTGAAAGGATGTCAGACTCTGGCATTGCCTTATTCTCAGCACCAGGTTCTTCAGGGATATCTTTGTCAACTCTGTCAGGAGTCTCTTGATTAGATACAGAGTCCTCAGCTTCCTTGCTCTGCTGTGCCTCTTCACTAGGCATTGAAGCTAGAGAGGTACTTTTTGAAGTCACTTCTGGTACTGGGGATGTGTTACTCTTTCGAGCATCCTCTGCATCATCACTGTGTTTGCTTGGAGGAGACCAAGAATTAGAATCCTTAAGATGACCAAAGGTGTCAAGGTTTGTAACAGTCACAGCTGGTAAATTCAGAGGATAACGTCCAGTCACTGAATATTCGTTGTTTTCAGCCTTCTCAGAAACAATGGAACTGGGGGAATCAGTGTTCTCAAATACTGCACTCAGTTGACTCACAGTTGGGGAGACAGCCTCTGTCCGGGAACTAAGGCTGTCCAGGGAGTCAGTACTGCCTCTGTTGGACTTCGAACCACCCCATTCATCCTGAGGTTCAGTCCCTCCAGCCTTCTCTTTCTTTGGGGAATAACGGTTGTTTTGTCCTGATTCATGCACACTTCTCTCAAACAACTTCCGAGTTTCTGTGAACTTAGAATATGAAGGGCCATCGTGCATTGTGTCAAATCTACTAATTCGTTCAGAAACAGAGGACTCCAACTTAACAAATGAGCCATCTGTTTTCTCCAGAAATTCTTTGGGCTTCATTCTTCTCTGAGGGGATGAAGGTCCACCTTTCCCCCTGGTTTTGGCAATGACTGCAGCATTCTCGTTGGGTTCCATACCCATCTGCATAAATAGGTTTTTAATTCTGTTGACATTGGAACCATATTTCCTCCCCCTGCTCTGTTGGGAGCCCTCACCTTCTTTTGTTTTTTGTTCCCCATCTGACTTGGGTTTGTCAAAAGTACTTTTCAATGCCTGGAACTCAGTTCTATATGCATTCCTGTGAGGAGAGGCACTTCTGAGAGTGGTTCGTTCGCCTGAAGACTCCGTTTTCAACATTTTTATTTCAGGGTGAAAAGCCAATGTTCATAATGAGCAGGAGAAAAAAAAAAAAAAAAAAACAACAACCAAAAAAAACCACCTCTCTTCTCTAATCACCAGTATTTGATCAAGAAAAAGGACCTCTCAAATGGCATACTGTGTCAGTGATCCTCGCAACAGGTGTATGAGGAAATCATTCAGTCAAGAGTTACACAAAATGGCTTTTTCAAAGCAAGACTAGAGGTTCATCTGTAACAGAAAAGAATGAATTTCTGAATTCATTTACTTACTCGAATTTATGTTTACTCAACTAACACACACTTTTCCTTTCAAAGTGGCTTCAAACAGAAGAAACTACTTATTGAAGTTGGAATTTAAAAGCTGAGGCTTTTAAAAGTTGTAACTGACTGGTCTTTGTGGGTAACAAAGTGTTTCAAACACAATTTGGAGATCTCTACCCAAATCACACACATACAAGTTACACACAAGCACATCTGAAAGCAATACTTTAGTCCAAGTTTTTGCTGCTTTTGTGAATCATCTTAAAAGAAATCAGCAGTTCATACATCTTTAAGAAATCATCAAACTGTCCAGAAACATGAACTTCACTTGGGATTCTCCACACCAAATAAAACTTATTCTTTCTGTATTAATATAATTAAAAGTTTGGAATCTATGTTTACAAACTCCAAAACATGCCTATGGAGGCTTATTTCCCTCTTTCTGGCCCAGTGTTCTCGTTTACAGCATTCCCAAAGCAACACTAGTTCAATATCAGACCAAAACAAGCAGAACAAAGTTGTCAAATGGCAGTAAGTTTCATTCTTAGTCCAGTTACAGCAAATATTTGGAAGTTTCCTAAGAGGGGATATTATTAATTACAGAGAGGGATGTAGAATGTCATGGGAATAAAAGCATGAGAATGTGATGATCAGAAAGCAAATGTGCCATGAAACCTCTATTTAACAGCCCTGATTTGTTTATTCCTGCTTTCCTCTAACTTACTACAACCTCAAAATGCAACGCAATGCTGGCTTGCTGGTCTCTTGGAGCCCACAGCTGGATTTTCTATCAATAGGCCGGCAATGACTACTTTAAGATCTTCTGAGGAGCAGACCACGTCGTTCTAAAGATTTTTTCATTTGGTTTTGGTTTTGGTTTTTAATATCAGGCCGAGCTACATCAGCCTCACGCACCATCAGCTGGGGCAGCACACACTTTCACTGATACCGTCTCCAAACTCGGCTCCTGGCCCAGCACGCATGCATGGCCCATGCAGACAAACAAGAAAGGCTTCCGAGTGTGGTGCCTGGTTTTTGGTAAAGGCATCGATAATCTCCTTCTGCTCTGACATTTGCTTCAGTCTCACACACCCTCCCCTCCCCCTCCCCCCATTCCCTCCCCCGCCTTCTGGAGCCCAAGGGGGCGGGAGCGGGGGAGATGGGGCCGCCGGGGGATTCAAAACCTGCCCTCACAAAAGACAAACATAAATAACACCAACTTGAGAGGCGGCCGATTCCCCAGCCAGGTTCGGGACGCAGTCCCTCGGCCCCGGGGCAGGGCCGGGAGAGCAGGTGACGCCAAGCGCTATGGTAGGAGGTCGCAGTCTAGCTTTGTGCCAAGAAGCACCTGAAGTCCTAACACATTGGCTGCGGCTCCCGGCGGCTGCCAGGCGGATCCCAGTGTGGCACGGGGAGAGCCGAGCTCCCTTGCCACATTTAAAAAGGAAAAAGAAGGGAAAAAATTACAGGGTCATGATCATAAATCCCTTTGTTTTTCCTCCCAATGTGCCAGGAAACAATAGATCCCACTGATAATGCCTCCGATCCTCCACCTATCGCTCCCAACCACAGCCCACCCCCACCCCCAGCCTGCAACTCAGCCTTTGTACATCCCGGTTTTTTTCCCTCTTCATCTCCACCCTCCCCAACTCGTCGCCCCGCGAACAGCCTCCCCCTTACCCGAGCGGGAGCCGCCGCCGGCGGGGAGGGTCGGGCGGCCGCGCTCCCACCCCCTCCTCCGAGGCGCCCCCGCCCCCCGGTGGCCGCCGCTCGCCTCCGCGCCGCCCGCTCGGTGCCCTCCACCCGCTGCTCACGGCGCAGCGCGGAGGGCGGCTGCGGCAGCCGCTTCCACGCGCGCCGCGGCCCCCACGCGCGCCCTGCCCGCGGCGGGCGACCCCAGGAGGCGCGCGGCGCTGCCCAACGCCATTGCGGGCGGCGGCCGGCCCCGACGCGCCCGCACACTCGGCCTGGACGGCCCGCCCGGGAAGGCGCTTCGCCCACGTGCGGCCCCCGCGCCGGCCGATCGGCCGCGGGGCGGTCGTGGTGTCACCGCGGGGAGGCCGCGGGGGTGAGGAAGGCCTGGGGTAACAGGTGCCTCACCTCGGCTGATGGGATTAACTCAAGGGCCGCAGAGAGAGAGCGCCCGGCAGCAAAATCCCAGGAGAGGGAGCGAGAGAGAGAGGGAGCCTCTGGCGGCCAAACCGAGGGCGAAAAGCACCGGCCCCGGGAAGGCCGCCCCACCCCCTCGGCAGTGGGCGAGGGGCCTCGCGGGCCCGGGGCACGGCCTGCGCTCCGGGGGCCCTGTCCGCCTTTCCGCTGGGGTATTGGTTTGGCGGGAACTGGGGCCTTGGGCTGCCCGCTGCTGGCGCCCCACACGTCTGCAGTTAACTCCGGGACCCCGGGGCATCCGAACCCCCAAGCCATCTTGCTGGCCTGGAAGGCCTACACCCAGTTAGGCCCGGATACCTTGTGGCCTCACCTAGGGCACTGCACTCCACCCACCACCCACCTTGACTTTCAGCCTCCATTGCTGCAAGGAAAGGGATGAGGAGGTCATCTGACATTATTGTCGGGAGATCGTTTTTCAGATCCTCACCCTTTCATAAATAAATGCTCAGTATCTCTTCCTTCCGAACCCACCCACCCCCCAAATACTGGAAGTGTTACAGCCTTACTGCAAGCTATGAAACTGATCACGAGCGTCAATACAGATCTTTAAACCAAGCTTCTCAAAAACCCTATGGAGTAGAAATTCTTAAGGGGTAATTTTTCAAGAAGGTAAAACCGTGACTCATAGAAATATAAAATGAGGATGTGTCAAATATGTTATTTGACTCATTGGGGAGGAAACCAGAAAAATACTGCAACACCTCCAAGTGAGAATGTGAGGAACAGAGCTTTAGGGACAATCAGGAAAAAGGCAAAACTGGTCAATACTGTATAAGATACTAAAATATAATGTTTTGAATTATCTATTCCACAGGCAGTAATCAACTGTGTCTCTAAGGAACAAAATAATTACCCTTATCTATAGATAAGAACCATTACCTGAGGTTACCATAAATTTCGAAAGCTTATGGATTGTAAAATAGCCTAGCCAAAGGCAGTAAAGGTGCACACTACTGAAAAACCACGCAACACCACATTCCTGTAGATAACATCCAGCATTCCAAGGAAAGGACAGCCAGTAATCTTTTGCCCATTTCAAAGTCTTATGCAAGTTTTTTCAACAGAACTGTTTTTATATGTATTTTTCAGATAGGAAAACTGAGGTTTAGGTTTCGTAACTCACCCGCAGCTTTATCAGCTAGTAAATGATTATGGCTGGTTAGGAACTCTGGCAAGTCCGCAGAATCTATACTCTGGGAGCAAAATCTTTTCTCTCTGAATTTCAAAAGGGCTTTGTAGCTAATCCATGTATCTTTTATTTTGAACAGTGAAATTTTTTTTCTTCAAGTCTCACCAAATTCTGGGTGCTTTCTGGAGAAATTGGCATTCTCTCTCTGCAAAGTAGATGTCACCTCTATAAGTGTAAACAGATGTAACAGGCAACGTGAGGGGGCTGTGATTCCAGTCTCTACTTTCGAAAAGAACATTTGTGCTGTCTGGGGTAATTTCATGGAAAGGTTCCTGTCATTTATTTGCAGTATGGAAACCAGGATTTTTTAGGAAAATAACCTAAATAAATGCAAGAACCGAATCATTGAATTCTGTCTATAGAAGACAGGACAGTGTTGGCAATAAAATCAGTCTTACAACCCTTTCAAAAAAGATGATTTATACAAAAGGCAGCCTAAAGAATTTAATTGGTTAGTGTTTCGTTGTTGTTGTTTTGAATGTGAACCGTCTAGAAAAAGCCATATTGAAAGAATCAGTGACAGAGTTTTAAAAATACAATGCTGATAATTTAAGTTTCCTGGATTGCCTATAATCTACTTTCCACTTCTAACACTTACCCTGTTTGAAGGCTCTACTAGGCCAGCAGTAATCCAATATGTGAGGTTATTTGACTTTAAATTAATTTAAATTAAATTAAAAATTCAGTTTCTTACTCCCATTAGTCATGTTTGAAGGACTCATTAGCTGCTACATATGGCTAGTGGCTACCCTATTGGACACCAAAGATACAGAGCATTTTCATCACAGAAATTTCCATTGGACAGTGCTGTCCTAGACATCATTTGCACATCTATATATTGGGAAAAGTATATTGATTTAATAAGGATTAAAAATTAGTTTTGTGATGGATTATTAATGTATTAGAGAATCAAGGTCATACATTTTGCATGTTACAGTGGAAAGGCGTAGGGGCAGTGTTACAGCACGAGAAGTGAAGTTTTGTACTGACATGCAAGGCATCCAGATGCAGCGTACTTGGGGGAGGGGGTTGATTTTCGTCTATGATTTCTGTAAAAAATTATGTAGAATATTGCTGCCTGTTATTCTGATTTCCTTCCTAACCGTATTAGTAAGAATGGACTATAGGATGAGTTGGGGGGGGGGGGGGAGTACAGAATGTATCCTATATTCTTTTATAGGGGTTCTAAATATATTTTTTAAGTTTTCATAGTAGGTATAATAAGTATTCAAAAATTAAATTTTTCATGTGTGTAAGTGAAATATTGGCTGTAGTTGTGAAAGCTCAAATCAAGCCTGAATCCAATTTTAACAGTAGGGAAAATTGATTAAGCTGAACCTGCAGACTGCCTATCACTCCTAAATTTATAGCAGGAGGCA